CCCCCCACCCGTCCGCCTGCCTCCTTCCCTCCCTGCTCCCCTTGCAGGCAGACGCCAGGATTGCGCTGTCTGCTGGGATCTGCCCAGTCTTTCCCGGTGTGCGGGGTGGAACGCAGTCCCAGCGCCTGGGGGCCGTTGGGCGAGGGCCGCACCGGCAGGATGGTGAGTGGGACCATGGGTTTGTAGGTCCTTCTCTGGGATCCTGTGTCTCTGTACCTCCTTCAGTGTTTCCCTCCTTAGCCCTTCTCCCCCTCGCGGCTCTCCCACCTCTACCTCTCACCTTCTTGTAGCTCCTTCTCTCCCACTCTTTCCATCTCTGCCTCGCCTTTTCTTATTCTTCTAGGTCTGTCCCTACTTTTCTCTCTCTCCCGCCCCCCGCCCCGGTCCCTTTTCTCTCCCCCTCTGTCAGTCTCTGTCTCTGCGTCTGTCTGTCTCTCCCCGTCCTCCCTTACCCTACTCCTCCGGCACTCTCTCTCCCCTCTCTCCCTCTGTAACTCCGCTTCTCCATCTTTCCCTCCTCTCGCCTGTCTCTCCTGCTGTCTCCATCTCTCCTGCTTTGCTATGTATCTCAGTCTCTTCTCCTGTTCTCGCCTTCTTTCTGTGTCTCTCGCTCTCTCCGCTTCTACCACCCCCACCTGCGCGGGTTTGCTGCAGTCTCCTGGCGTTCGGATAACCTTGCCGCTGCCGCTGCTCCGGCTCCTCCGCCCCTCCTCCCTCCTCCCCAGTCCCCGGCCTGGGCCGGAGAGAGGGAGAGAAGGGGGCGGGGCTCAGGGTCTCCGGCGCGGGGGTTCGCGGGTTGCCCACGCAGAACTAAGGGAGAGTGGGTCCAGGGGCGTGAGCTTTGCGCAAGGGCCGTGAAGTCCCAGGAGAGTGGGGCTGGGGGGAGGGTCCGCTAGCCTTCTCCTTGGGACCCTGGCTGGTTGGGGACCTGGGCGTGTAAGAAGTCCTCGCGGCGAGAAAGGAAGGCCAGGGGGCAGGGGGCTAGTCTTCTGAAAGGGAGGCTGGACTGAGCGCTGGGTGCCCCCAGGTGTGTGCTCGGGCGGCCCTCGGTCCCGGCGCGCTTTGGGCAGCTGCGTGGGGAGTCCTCCTGCTCACCACCGCGGCGGAGGCGCAGCGCGGCCGGAAGAAGGTCGTGCACGTGCTGGGTGAGTCAGGGCCGTGGAAGCGGATCTTGCCCCGCAGAAGCCGTGGGCAAATAGGATCGCCCGAGTGCGCGGAGCGGGAAAGAGGGAGGGTGCTGGGCGGTCCTGATGGCCACAGTCCCCACGCCGCTCTTCCCGCTCTGAGTCCCCGCCCTCTCCCTAATTTCCTCCTGCAGCCCCTTTACCTTTCTGATCTCCTGACCCTCACCTAACTTTTCTTCCTACACCCCCTTCCCTGGGTCCCGCTCCCCAGGTGCTCCTGCCCCGCCCCTGGGGCCTCTTAACCCTCTTTGGTCGTCCACAGAGGGGGAGTCGGGCTCGGTGGTGGTGCAGACAGCGCCGGGACAGGTGGTCAGCCACCGGGGTGGCACCATCGTCTTGCCCTGCCGCTACCACTACGAGGCAGCCACTCATGGCCACGACGGCGTCCGCCTCAAGTGGACCAAGGTGGTGGACCCGCTGGCTTTTGCCGATGTCTTCGTGGCGCTGGGCCCCCAGCACCGAGCGTTTGGCAGCTACCGCGGGCGGGCTGAGCTGCAGGGCGATGGGCCCGGCGACGCCTCCCTGGTTCTCCGCAACGTCACGCTACAGGACTACGGGCGCTATGAGTGCGAGGTCACTAACGAGCTGGAGGATGACACGGGCATGGTCAAGCTGGACCTGGAAGGTGACCAGACCGTGGGCAGGACGAGTCACATTTCTAAGGGAGGAGAGAGGATATTGCAAAGGGCAGAAACCAAGTCAAGCTGGCCTGAAGGGATTTAGCAGCTCGGTGGGGTAGGATAATGGTTGTGATTTGGGGCGATTTCGCTCCTCAGGGATATCAGCAACGTCTAGAAGCAGGTTATGGTGGTATATAGCGGGGAGAGGCCAGGGATGCAGTGAAACATCCCATAAAACACAGGCAATCCGCCCAAGCAAAGAATAATCCAATCCAAAATGTCAATAGCGAAGAGGTTGGGAAACCCTGCAGTAGAATTCAAGCACTCACACCATGTCAGGAATCCTTCCCTCAGCTCTGCCTTCCTGTGTGGTCTTTCCTTGGACAAGTTTCCTGGGTGGAAAAAAAAAGTAGTGCCAGGCTTCCACCCTCCCAGCTTGGCAATCGATTTCCTTTAAGTGTTACCTAGAGTCCCAGAGTTGTCTCTCATTGGCCCAGCTTGAATCATGTGCCTATCCAAGAGCCAATCACTGTGCCTGGGAGATAGGTTGCTCTGACTGGCTGACCGTGGAGCTGAGAGGTGGCGTTTTTATTTGAAGAATTCCCTTCCATTTGGTTGCTTTCCTCACTCCACCTTAGAAGACTCTAGGAGAGATTTCTTAGCCCTCACTTGCTGAACTTCCCAACAAGAGCGAACAACAACAATAACAAAAGCAGCTCTCCTTTCTTGGGTGTTTTCTATGTGCTAGGAGCTTGGTTGAAGAATTCTCTGGAGTCTCTCATTTAATTTTCCCAAAACCCCTGAGGAAGACGCTATTACTAGCAGATGGGCAATTGGCTCAGAGAGGTTAGAGCCTTGACCAGGACACATACCAGTGAGTGGCAGAGCCAAGACTCAAACTCCAGGCTCAGACTTCAGCTCTTCTCTCTGGCTCTTGTTTGAGCCTTCCTGCAACTGCTGAGAGATGCATCTGCACCCACAAAGCCTTCCCCCCAAACACAGACACACAGAATGCTAGTGAACTGAGTTGACTGTGATTCTGACGAGGGAGGAGTTAACGAACAGAAGGTAGATGGGAAAACAATGGGAAGTGTCCTGGGTAATCCTGGAGACCAAAGAGCTCTGTCTAGGGTCAAATACTCATGGGCTCCCAGCGTGGGGGAGTCAGCTCGGTGGGCTCAGAACTTGACCAGAAGGCAGGTCCCAATGCTGGAAGAATGTCAGAAGCACACAGAACTGAAGAAGCAGGATTGTGGGAGCTGGGTTTTGAAGGATGAATAGGAGTTCTACAAGTGGAAAGGTGGAAAGAACACGAACAAAGGTCTCCAGGGGTGGAAAGGAGGTGGATGTGATTAAGTGCGTCAAAGAGGAGATCAAGTGAATCCCAAGTTGAAGGCAAAGGAAGTATGAGGGATATGAGCTGGGGAAAGGCTGGTCAGGTCTGACGCTAGAGGGAGGGATGGACTGAAAGGTGGCGCCCCTGATGTCAGGTAGGTGGATGCGAATTGGTGGGTCCGAGCTGACCCTGTGTATCCCCTCAGGTGTAGTCTTCCCTTACCACCCTCGTGGAGGCCGCTACAAGCTGACCTTCGCCGAGGCTCAACGCGCGTGCGCTGAGCAGGACGGCATCTTGGCGTCGGCCGAGCAGCTGCACGCGGCCTGGCGCGACGGTCTGGACTGGTGCAACGCGGGCTGGTTGCGCGACGGCTCGGTGCAGTACCCGGTGAGCCAGCCCCGGGAGCCCTGCGGCGGCCTGGGCGGGACCGGGAGCGCCGGGGCTGGCGGCGGAGCCTCCGGAGGCGTGCGCAACTATGGCTACCGCCACAACGCAGAAGAACGTTACGACGCTTTCTGCTTCACGTCCAACCTCCCGGGTGCGTAGGCCCCACCCCTGGGAGGAAGGTCCTGCCCACCGCTGGCGCGGGCTCCGCCCCACCCGTGAGACCCCACCCCCAGGCCTGTCTCAATATTCTTTCCCACTGTGCTGTTTTCTCTCCTCGCCTTTCCTCTCCACACCTCTCCACACCTATCCACACCCGGAGGTCCCTAGTATAGTCAAGGCACGGCAATCAAACAAAGCCTGGCACCAACACTGCTCTAGCCGAGGCCGTGGTCCCGGGCTGCAGAGGAGCGGGTGAAGTTTCTGAACCCTGAGGCTGTTTCCTGGGCGGCAGGCGAGAGGGAGTCCTGAAATCCGAGGAGGCCCAGCCCCAAGAGCAGCCCTAATCACTCCTACCCACCCCTCTGCAGGGCGCGTGTTCTTCCTGAAGCCGCTGCGGCCGGTGCCTTTCTCCGGAGCGGCGCGCGCGTGCGCGGCGCGCGGCGCCGCCGTAGCCAAGGTTGGGCAGCTGTTCGCCGCGTGGAAGCTGCAGCTGCTGGACCGCTGCACCGCGGGCTGGCTGGCGGACGGGAGTGCACGCTACCCCATCGTGAATCCGCGCGCGCGCTGCGGCGGCCGCCGGCCGGGTGTACGTAGCCTCGGCTTTCCCGACGCCTCGCGCCGCCTCTTCGGCGTCTACTGCTACCGCGCGCCTGGCGCACCGGACCCCGCCCCTGGCGGCTGGGGCTGGGGCTGGGCTGGAGGCGGCGGGTGGGCCGGAGGCGCCCGAGACCCCGCCGCGTGGACCCCGCTGCGCGTCTAGGCCTGGGCAGTGGACCGCGGGGGCGCTTGGCGGCTGGCCGAGTGCCCTGCAGCGTGGACTGACCGCACACTTGGAGACTGGCCATACCCCTTGCGGTGCCCTGCAAGTTGACCAGACCTCCTGCGGTCCTTAACCCCTGGCCGCACCCTCTGAGGTCCCCAGAGTCTGACCAGTTCTCCGAGCCAAGTCCCTTGGAGTCCCCTGGAGATCAACCAAGCCCTCCCTTTTCTGAACGGTGGATTGGGTCTCCTCTCCCAACCTTCCCCAGGAGATGAGGCACACCCTCTGAGAATCCCTGGAGCCCAACAGACTCTGAGGTCTCCTGAACACTGGACACGTCTCCGGAAATCTTCTGGAACTTACCCCATGGTCGCCTGGAGGCTGGACCCCCGGGATTATTTGGAGACTGGCCACACGTCCTATGCATCTCCCCAGAGACTGTAGACTGGTCCCTTAAGGCCACCTGGACACTGAGCCCTCCTACCCACCATCTGTAGAGAAACCAGAAACCTCTGAGCTCGTCAGCTGACCACACGGCCATGGTCACATGAACACTGTGGGCTCCTGTCCTCTTCCCTAAGGTAACCTGGAAATTGGTTACTCCCACTCTCTCCCTTTCTCCCACAAGTCCCCCAAAGTTTCCAGAATAACAGGTCATGTCTCCAGGTCACTGTGGAGAACAATCCCACCCCTTCAGTTCCAGGGGAGACCACCCTCTTCTGTCACCGTTAATACAGGTTCACATGCCCCAGCTGGCTCGCATGATGGGGTGCCCGTGGCGCGTCCCTCAGATTCTGAGGGAGCAAGTCTGCCTTTACCTGAGGGCCCCTTTCCTAGCCGTCACCTAAGAGACCATCTCCCGGGCCCAGGGACCCATAAAACCCATGTCATTTGCTATGGAGACACATTGCCCCGCTTCCGATTGTTACCAAGGCGACCAGCCCAGCTTCCACTGTCACCTAGAGTCACACAGCCCTTCCTTCACCAGTCACACCCATGGAGTCAGCGCCTCCCTCCTCCAGCTGTAACCATGGATACCACACGTTTCCCGTCTTACCCGCCTTCACCCCAGAGACCTACAGCTTCACTCCCACTGTCCTCACCCTGACCAACAGCCAAGGAGACCACCCTCTCCTCTAACTGTCCTGAGGTTCTCCAGCTCTCACCATGGAAACAGGCTGCTCCTTTCCGCGGGCGCCCCAGCTCCCTGCTCCTCTCTAGGCTCCGCCCCCAAGCGGCTTGGACCCCGCAGCTGTTGCCATGCAGACTAAACTCCGGTTTCTGAGATAACGGAACACCTGTCCCCTTAGGCTTTTTCTTGTAGGTAGGGCCCGCCCCTCCACATTGTCACCATAGAGGCTGTCAGCGTCATCTCCGTGACCACTGACTTTCCAGTCCTCAGGAACTTCTTACCATGGGCCGGAACTTGCTCCATAGGGTCTAATGGCTGCCCCTTGACCACTGGGCCCAGCTCCAGGCGGACTTCTGGAGCCGCTGGATACCCTCCGTTTGCACGCTAACTACATCCCAGACAACAGCTGTGCACGAGATAACCTTGCAACATCCAGATGAGCAAATGAGACCCTAGTGTGCCCCAACCCTTTGTTCTGTGCAAGCGCGAGGCTCTTTTCCTCTCTGAGACCACGTCCCCATTCTCCCTGAGGTCCTCCCTCCCTTTCTAACCTCCCGACCCCCACATTTCCCTTCTTAGAGATCCAGGAGAGGTGGAATTGTCTGTAAACCTCAAAATCCACTCTGAACTCCAGGTTCTAAGGGGCGATTTGTGTTAACAAGTCAGGACCCTGTCAAACTCCCCAGTGTTAATAGCTCACTCAGGGAGACTGTCCATGAACAAGGCCACCCCAGCTGTTAGAGTCCCCAGTTTCGAGGTCTTGCCTGGACTGGGGTCCTTCCTGGAGCCCTCCTATTGTCACATCCATCTCCAGGAAACTTGTCTGTGGGTTTGGGGACCAGGTGTGCCTGAGTTTGAATTCTGCCTCTGTGACCAAGTGATGAAACCCCTGATCTTGTTCCCTCCTGTGTACCAGGGCTGTTTTTAAGGTCCCAGTGAGTGCAAAGTGTTAACAGCAGGGGCTCAATAAATCTTTTCTTTTCTTTTTTGATGAGTGAGAAAATGAGGCAGTTGGTGGGTAGTTACTTCAAAAATGCACGTTGGTAGACAAAATGTTTTTCAGCTGGGGCAGCAGTGGGGCTTGGTGATGATTTGGTCGGGAAACTTCTCTCATTCCTCAGGACCATTCATTCCCTCTCCCCAATCTCTCTTTCCTCTCCCTTCCCCCATCATGTTCTCCTTCTCTCCCTTAAGCCACCTCCCATGGGTCTGGCCCTTCTCAGCCCTGTCCTAATTGGGTCACTAACCAACCCAACTGTTCCTCTCAGTCCCTTGGAAACAAAGTGTGTGAAACTGGATGTTGACTTCCTGCATCAGGAAGGCAGAGAAGTTGCAGATTTTCCATGGGGTGGGGTGAAGGTGGGGGTCAGGGGAGTGTGGGCTAAGAAGTAGTGAAAGTTTCTTGGATGTAAAGAAAGGAGAAGAGAAAAAAAAGTGTAAATGTCTGATACGGCTGGAGAAGTGGGATGGTTAACTGAACTGTTGGTGCCTCAGTATCAGATGGGACAGAACTAGAAATTCCAACCACTCATCTGAAGTCAGGGTCCAGCCTCCTGGTTAGAGAGCCTTGGGCTCCAACTGAGCCTTAGCTTCCTTGAATAGGAGAATGGTAATGGGGCGTGTTTCTGGAGATGAGTGCGTGAGATTTCTTTCATCCCTCCGTTTCCCTGCTGACATCCTTTCTCTCTTCCTTGGGGTCTCACATCCTGGTTGTGCCCTGGGTAACTAAGTTTTCCTTCTCTCATTCTATGAGTCAGAGTGGCTGACTCCACTGGACAATGAATGCTGTGACTCACATTCCTGGGCTACCCTCATTGGTCCAGGGGTGGACATGGACCCAGGCAGACCAATGAGATGCAGGCCCTGGGATTTTGACGGACCAATAGGATCAAAGGAACCGTCTTTCCTCTGGGTCTCTGCACTGTTGGAGTGGAGTCCTCAAGAGCCCACCTGGAGTCGAGTTCCTCTGGAAGCTAGATATTCAGGAAAATATCCCTCTCCTGTCTTCCAGCAGCCAGTGCACTTCTCAGAGACATCTAAAATTTCCTACATGTCCTTCAGAAGATGTTTTATATTCATTCAAGGAAACATGCATGTATCATTTTCCTCCTCACTTTTACACAAATGAAAGCATGCAATGTGTACTCTCATTTGTTTACTTAGGTGTTTGGCTGCGCCTAGTCTTCGTTGTAGCACGCGGGGTCTTTGATCTTCATCGTGGCTCTCAGGATCTTTAGTTGTGGCGTGTGGGCTCTAGTTCCCTGACCAGGGATAAAGCCTGGGCTCCTTGCATTGGAAGTACAGAGTCTTAGCCACTGGGCCACCAGAGAAATCCCAATATATACTTTTTATGTTGTAAAATTTCACATAGTATGAAACTCACCATTGTAAACATTTTAAAGACTTCGGTTTAGTGGCATTTGGTACATTCACAGTGTTGTGCAACCATCATCTCTATCATTTTCATCACCCCAAAGAAAACCCCATGCCCATTAAGCAATCTCTCTTCATCTCTCCCTGCCCCCCTCCCTGCTCTGACAGCTGTCAAGCTACTTACCATCTCTGTGGATCTGCCTATTCTTGATATTTTATATAAGTGGGATCCTACAGTATGTGTTCCTTTCGTGTCTGGCTATCTGTATGATATTTATGATTGAATAATATTCATATATATACATATCACATTTTGTTTATTCTTTTATTGATTAATGGACATTTGGGTATTTTCCATCTCTATTGTGAATAACACGACTACGAACACTTGTGTGCCATACATACTTTTAAAGTAACTCTGTTTTTTAATTAGTAATATATTTGGGGACTGGCTTCCTTTAGCTTGTAAAAAAAATCACATCCCCTCCCCTCTGCTGCCAGCCTTCTTCTGAAGATTGGCACTGCTGTTTGGATGCACCGTAACTTTTGTAACCAGTCTCCTAATGGTGGCATTTGCACATTTCCCATATTTTGTTGTTAGTCATAAGTACCACAGTCATCACACCAGTGTGTATAACTGGAGGATAATATCAGGTGTTGTTTGATCAAGGGGTCAAGACTTGCCATTCTGATAGGATTTCCAACTATTCCTAGTGGTGAGGCCAATTTATAGCCCATCAGTAGTCGATGTGGTTCTCCCCCGATAGCTTAGTTGGTAAAGAATCCACCTGCAATGCAGGAGACCCTGGTTTGATTCCTGGGTTGGGAAGATACCCTGGAGAAGGGAAAGGCTACCCACTCCAGTATTCTGTTCTGGAGAATTCCATGAACTGTATTAGCCCATGGGGTCGCAAAAAGTCAGACATAGCTGAGCAATTTTTACTCATTTCACAATAGATGCACTTGCCTCTTTCCATACACCTTCACCTGCATCATATGTCATCACTTGTTACCTTGGCCAGCTTATTAGATGGAAAAGAATATCTCTTTGTGGTTGTCACTTGCAATTCACTTGTTACATGAAGCTGATAATCCTCCACTTTGACCTTAGCTGCAGGCTGTTGAGTAAATCATAAATCATTCTCAGTTCAAATAATTGTCAATATTAAAATATGCAAAACCTCTCTCTTGAAGATTTATTGTTTATTTCCTTTTACTTATGTGTCCTGATTTGTGTTTCTTGGTAATCTGAAAATTGTGTGTTATTTTATCGAGCATATGTTGTAGTTTAACACCGCCATATTGTTTCCTTTTCTTTGAGCCTTTTGTTCATATCCTTTGCCCATTTGGCTATTGGATTATTGGTTTTCTTTTTTTTCTGTTTTGGACTGGTGGCTCAGTGGATAAGAATCCCCCTGCCAATGCCAGGGACATGGATTTAATTGTAGGAGCTCTTTAAGGCAATAATTCCATTATCTCTGATTTGAAAATTGTT